CCACAGCATCAAATAACATTCAGATCCATAGGTATAGCTTTCACAGCAGATGTGCAAGGTCTCTGCATGAAAATGACGGCACTTAATGGGAGCTATTAAATAAGGACCAAAGAAGTGGAGGTTTACTGTGTTCGTGGATTGGCAGACAATGTGCTAAAGAGTCATTTCTTGCCAATTTCGTCAATATTCAGTAAAAAGCTTAATCAGAATCTTAGCTTTTGTTCTGTACAAGCTCATTTTAAAATTCACTTGGATATGCAGAGAGAGTAATGAATGGTCAGTCTTAATGAAGACCTGTGTTACAGATATTGGCCCACTTCCAAGGTTGTAGTTATTAAAGTTGTAAGTTAAGGGGCTGGAGAGATGGCTCAGTGGTTAAGAGCACTGGCTGCTCTTGCAAAGGGCCCAGGTTCGGTGGCTAACAACTGTCTTGTAACTCCATTTCTGGGGATCTGACGCCATTTTCTGACCTCCACAGACATTGTACAACATGGATGCGCTCACATACATGCAGACAATACACTCACACATAAAATTTGAAAAAAAAAAAAAGTTGTGAGTTGAGGAAAGGAGCCAAAGGGATAAAATAGAAAATCTGGAAACATACATGTTTATGGATAGTAAAGCTGACACTGAACTACAGTGGCGAATGATTGTCTTTTCTTGCTTATCAGTTAAAAAATCCATGTGGGAAAAATGCTGATATTGATCCCTACTTCATAAATACATAAAAGGTAAACTTCAAATGAGTTGTATATTTAAATGTGAGGGATAGAGCATGAAGCATTTAAAGGCAAACAGTGTTGGCGTAGACATGTTTTCACATTTAAGATATAAACTATAGGGGGCTGGAGAGATGGCTTAGTGGTTAAGAACACTGTTCTTGCAGAAGACCCGGGTTTGAATCCCCGAACCCACATGGCAGCCAACAGCTGTCCATAACTCCAGTCCCAAGAGATTCAACAGCCTCTTCTGACCTCCGTGGGCATTGAACAACATGGGTGCCCTTACCTACATGCAGGCAATACACGTATACACATAAAATAAAAATAATAAATAAAAATTTAAAAAATACATAAACTATAAAAGGAAACATTAATCAATCATTGCTACAGTTAAGAACATCAGTTGTTAAAAGACCCTATTAATATAAAGGAAAGCAGCATAGGGGAGATTTATATGCATATTTATAGCAAAGGACTCTTACCGAAAATATATCTAGATAACATCTCTAAAGTAAGAGACGAGAACTCAATGGAGAAAATGGGCACAAAACACAAATACACACGTCACAAAAAGCTCTTATATGAACCATAGCATAGGAAAAGATTTTCAGTTTCAGTAATCATCCAATAGAGTTGTAAACACAGAACAGCACTGGTGAGGGTATGCAATGATTACAGTTCATACTCCATTTACCATTGGTGTACAGAGTTTTAGTAAACTGGCAGGATTTGCTGAAGCTTCATATATAACAAATGCCGAGACTTAAAACTTTCTTTTGATATGTATCATACAGAAATGTATGCATGTATTCACAGGAAGATGTGTGCAGTAGTGTTTGTGGTAGCAGTGTGCAATGTCAAACACTGAAAAGTTTTCAAATGCCCCTCAGTTTGTAATTAACTGTAAATATCTTTAACCACATAAAATCATACAATACAAAAAGAAAGTGAGCTACACAGGAATCAGTGTGGATGAGCCCTACAAGAATGCTGTTGAGAGAAAGAAGACACTTTTTATTTGAACACAGGGTAAATGAAATGCTGATGCTCATACTCGGGGAAGTAGCCGCACTTCTTGACGAGAGGGTATCCTTAGAAGGGTGTGCTAGTCGCCTTCCTTTTGTGATCCAGCTGTTGGTTGGGTATGTTCAATTTGTGAAAATTTGGTGAACTGTGCACTTTTTTGTATATATTGTTCTTTTTGTTTGTTTTGTTTTGCTTCTTGAGAGTCACCCTGTAGCCCCAGCTGGTCCAGAACTTGCTATATAGACCAGGCTGACCTCATAGAGATCCACCTGCCTCTGCCTCCAATGTGCTAGAATTAAAGGCGAGTGCCCCAAGCCAGGCTTGTAAATATTAATTCTTTATAGGGGAAAATAGCCTACTTCATCATACTGCATATCTTTTTAAAGATACAGGAACCTTAAGCAAGTAGCCATTTGGCAAGGATTTGTGATAGAACTGCAGCTGAGCTTAGTGTGAGTGCAGAGGAAGGTGGGGCCTTTCTTTTGCTGGGCCCTGAGTGCACAGTTACCAGAAAAGATTCCCATCCTGAAGAATCACAAAGTGGTAATCCTTGACAAATCCTTGTGAAGAATTCTGAGGATGGAGATCAGTTGCTAGAAAATGACTCTTTGAGAAGAGCAGCAGCAGATGGCGTTTGGGTCCCTGAATCAAGAACATAAATAAGATAGTCTATAATTTCACTTTTGATCTATACAGATAAAAAGAAGAAAAAAAGCATTTGTCTTTCTGCTGTTTTATTTCTATTGCAGTAATTTCTTTTTAAATTTATAAGTTATCTCACTCCAAATGTTTGTTTCTAGTTCCAGAAAAATAAATATCACAAGTTTTCGCTCATGTGGATGTTAGCTTTGAATCTTTAGATATGTATGTTCCCTTGGGAATACCCCTAGTGGTTAGGAAACTAGTAAGGGACCATGCAGGAGAGGAGATCTTTCAAGGGAAAGGAAATAGAATACAGTGATAGAAAGGGGGAAAGGGAACAGGAATGGAAGAGGAAAGATTAGATGGGGTAGGGGTGGATGGGTAGGCTAGCTGAGGGAATATGGGGATAACTAACACTAAAGTCCTTTTGAAAAAAATATACTGTAGAAGCTTTCTAAGATATATACATACAGGTATGTAAAAAGAGTTTAAATGGCTGGGTGTGGTGGTGCACACCTTTAATCCCAGCACTCAGGAGGCAGAAGCAGGAGGATCTCTGTGAGTGCAAGGCCAGCCTGGTCTACTTAGTAAGTTCCAGGCCAACTGGGGCTAGAGGGAGACCCTGTCTCAAAAAGATTTAAAAAAAAAATTTTTTTTTAAGGAGTTTAAATGGAATTACTCTGTAATGGTCGAGTCAGAGGACAGAATACCCCAACTAAACACTTCATCCTAGGAAATGAAAATCACAGTACCAAGAATGGGTTACCTATCTTTGGTCAGTTGGTTAGACCCAAAATATTACAGGCTATTGCTGTTACTCTTGGTCACCCTCCAAAACTTGACAGTAAGACTCTGTTGCTGAAGACAAAACATCCTTGAGTCATAAAACATACAGAAATCAAGTGGGTAGTGACCTGGAAGCTTCATCCCTACTGGCTAACTTTCATAGTGCTGGAAAGTGCTATGCATACTACCAGAGGAGAAAAGTAGTCATCAGTCTTAACCCAGCTGAGAACACCGTGAACTACAATAATATCTGTCCTGGCAGGCTATGCCTACTAGTGCAATAGTGGCATGAATGTTATGGAAATAACCACCACCCTCTGATTGGATTTAAGGACTGATCTGGGAAATAGAACCTATACCTTGTATCTGTATTGGGGCCAAAAACATGTGACTAGATAGGTGACATGCCCTAGGGGAGAACCTACTACTAATATTTTACTAAATGAACATAGTATTAACATTAAAATTTTTATTATAGGTATACATTGTATGCTGAGAATATCCTTCCCACCTCATTCCTCCCATCTCTCCCTCCCACTAATCCCTTTTGTTCTCCCAGATAATATTACTTCTATTTTTATTTAATCTATGCATACATGATTTTATTTGACTATAAAATCTAGGAACCACAGATAAAGGAAAATGTAGTATTTGTCTTTCTGAGACTAATTTGCTTAATATGATTGTCCCTGTTGCATCCATTTCCCTATAAATGACATAACTTCATTTTTCTTTATGGCTAAAAAATTTCTACATGTCACATTTTCCTTCTCCATTTTTCTGTCTAGATTGGTTCTGTAATTTAACTATTGTGGATAGTGCTACAGTAAATAGTAATGTGCAAGTATCTCTATGTTGACTTAGTATCTTTGGGCTAAATATCCAGGAGTGTGGTATAGCTGGGTCTTATGTTAGATTTATTTCTAGTTTCTGAGAAACCTCCATACTGATTCCTGTAGACTTTTTTTTACTAGTTTACATTCTCATCATCAGACTATTAGGATTCCCTTTTGTCCACATTATGTCAAGATTTGTTTGTTTTCTTAATGTCTGACATTCTGAGTGGAGTAAGAGTGGAGTAAGTAGTTTTGATTTGCATTTTTCTGATGGCTGGTGAAGTTGAACACTTTTTCATATGTTATTTATGGGTTATTTGTGCTTCTTCCTTTGTGAACTGCTATACTTATGGGTTGGATTGTTTTCTTACTGTTCAGGTTTTTCAGTTCTTTGTATATTCTAGGTATTAATCCTCTGTCATATCCATAGCTTAGCAAAGATTTTCTCCCATTCTGTAGGCTGTCTGTTCACTTGATTAACTGTTTCCTTTTGTTGCAATAATTCCCTATCTCCTTTAGAAGAAGTTATTGGCTATTTCAGAAGCCAACATGATTAATAAGTTGAAACAAACTGAAGCTAGGGCAAGTAGAGAGACCTATAGTACTGCATGGAAGCACAGTTGCAGCAGTTGCAGATTGGCAACCACTGCCCTTATGGTATCACAGAAGGAGCAGACAGAATTTCCTGAGAGAGTTCTATGCCTTGCCACTGAAACCCTGAGGACATTTATCTGGAGCATTATAGAGGCAACATTGAACAACATGTAATGAACATGTCTTCAGTTGTGTGTGTGCTCTACCAAGCATGCAGATTTAATGATGGTAACCTTCATAAGCTGTAGTTATTCAATGAGTGTGATGCTGCAGGAAACCAAAGTTTTATCTACCTCCATCTCCCCCAATTTAATCATTGGAGAATGCCTGCCATTTGGGGCCGTTCTACTTCCTTTCAGATAGAGATTTCCTACTTGTTTTCATTGACCAGGTACCCGGGAAGAACCTACCATACAGCAGGCTCAGCGTCGGTCAGCTGTCTTTTTGTCCTTTAAGTCTCCAATTCCATGCCTGCCCTTGCGCTGGGAGCAGCAAAGCAAGCTTCTTCCAACGGTTGCTGGAATCCCTGCTAGTAGAGTTTCCAAATGGAGCACAGATGAGGTATGTTTGATTTTTGTTTTTGTTATTGTTGTTTTTTATCTTATTTTGTCTACAGGACCAGATACAATAATATTGGTATAAGGGGAAATAAATAAATACATTGCGTATAAGTAGTGTTTAGTCTTTTAAGGTTGTGTTTTTGTTTTGTTTTCCTGTGTAAGAGAAAGAATTATTTTGAGGGAACTGCCTAAGCCGCATAGGTCAAATATTTTTGAACCTGCAGCAGTGGGATGCCAGATTTTTCTTGTTTAACTAAGAATTTTTGATATTATTTTTGACAGGTGTCAGAATTCATCCAGAGCTTGCCTGGGTGTGAAGAACATGGAAAGGTATTTAAAGATGAAGTAAGTGTTCCAGTATGCTGCAATATGTCTCTTAATAGGATCAAAGCACTGAAATTCAGCGAATGGAGAAATGTGTTAAATTGGCAGCCAGGAAGAGATGGGTTCTATTGAAGTTGACAGATTGATATGTAGCTTCATTACAAGCTACATTAACCACTTGAATTCAGATGTCTTATAGAAGATGAGATCCAAAGATATGTTTATAAGAATCATTTCACGATTGTGCACAGTAACACTAAATTCATTATAAAAATCCCCACAAAACTTAATAGCATGTTCTGATATAGTTTATAGCACAGAAAGAAATCAGTGAAAGAAATTAGCACATTAATTTACATTAATGTGAAATTCTCATTAGTTTAGTTTCAGGTATCATTCTAACAATATCAAGATTAATTCCATTTGATGTTTATAATAAGTACTACTACTATTATAGCTACAATGATCCCTTAGATTTTACATATTTCTCAGTTATATGTATAAGGACAGGTATTTATTGCAATCTATTTTGAGATTATATTTTTTCTGTTTTATTTATTTATTTTTAAATTAGCATACAAAGTAACAGGTTTCCTTGTGGCATTTTCAAGCACACTATTTTAGTTGCTTGCCCTCTCTCATTGCTCTTCCCAGGTCACTGCTCACCCTTCTTCTGCCCTTCTGCCCCCAGTGTCCGCCTTTCTACCTTCATGCCACATATATTGTTACATTCCCATCTCCCTTAAAACTTTTTTCCCCTCTCATAGTTCCTTTCTGCTTTCATGACCTAAACCCACACTTCTACGTAAATACACATATAAAATATAGAAGCTAGGGTCACGTATGAGAGAAAACATGTGGTATTTATCATTCAGAATCTTGTTACCTTAATATATAACACTTAACATATCCATGTTTTTCCGACAAATTTTATTTTTCTTTATGGCTGAATAAAATTTCACTGTGTATATGTTCAATATTTTTATTATCTATTCAACTGTTGATGGACATCTAAGCTAATTCCATTTCTTTGGTATTATAAAAAGGAAGCAATAAACATGGATGTGCAGATATCTCCATGGAAGGATCTAGAGTCCTTTGGATATATGTCCTGGAGTCTTATAGTTGGGTCATTAGGTAATTCTGGTTTTAGTTTTGTGAGAAACTTCCACACTGATTTTCATAGTGGCCACATCAGTTTACATTTTTACCATAGCCATTCTGACTGGGTGGGATGGAATCTAAAGCAGTTTTAATTTGTATTATTGATTGTTTCAATGCTTCTCCAAAACTTCAAAATAAGTGATGACAGTATCAATATAAAGCTAAATTTTCTAACTACCCTAGAAGTAATGTATTTAGAGTGCAGTAGCAAACCCTTTTCCTGAGAGATCTGTGAAAATAAGCCACTTGCCTGTCATCTAAGTGGAGAAATCCATTATCCCTCTGATTCTGATTTTGACTCAGTGTAACACTCGCACGAGGCATAAAAATGCCTGAGTGGTCTCAGAAGGTGTTCCCCAGCATCTGCTGACAGTAGTTGTGTGTATGTGCGTTTTTTTCTGCCCCCATATGTAAGCTTGAACATTAGGAACAGCATACCTGCACTAAGGAGTATAGGGACAGCTGAGAATCCAACTGGACATCAGCCTCATTTTACTATTAAATACAGTTTACTGTTTTGATGGATGCTAATTACAATGCACAGGGATCTGAGTTTCAGCATTTCTTTTCTAATTTATGTTCTTATTGCAGAAAAATATCATACTCTTTCTAGATGATCTTAGTCTATTATTCATAGTTTTTTTCCTCCCTTGTAAGTGTCCATGTAGACCACTCTCCATGAATAGACTTGGATCCATACAGGGGATGGATACAGGATGCTGTTCTTTCTTTGAAAGAAGTATATGCTCATTAACTTTGAAAGTCATAGATATTCTTGAAAACAAGTGTGTGATACATCTATTTTATGCATTCTATTTTTGATTCTGTTGATAGCTAATCCACACAGGTTTGCTTTATTACTTAGTTTAAATATATTAAGTTCAAAATGATATGGTATTTCGTTGGATGTTTTTTAATCATGGCATATTGCCTTTGGGGACATTCTTCAGGTGCCAAATATTCCCAAAGCCAGATCTTTCTTTAGAGGAGTGGGGTGCTTCACATTCTTGTCCAAATGTCACTCTTTCATGGATTGGCTCATGTACTCTTTTATTCACACATTTGGTGAAGCTTTGTTAGATTCCTGCCTTTTATGTGTTACTTTGTGAAATGCTCTGGTGAAAGGAGTACTTTAAAAATACTAAAACAAAGGGCTGGAGAGATGGCTCAGCTGTGTGCTACACTTGCAGAGAACCTGAGTTTGATTTCTAGTACCCATGCCAGGTGGCCAATAGCCTATGGCTCCAGATCTAGAGGCTCTGACAGTTTCTTGTGCCCCTGTAGGCACTGTTCCTTATTTACACAAACCCATACTCATGCATATACATGTCATTTAAAAATAATTTTTTTTTTAAAAAAAAGTAAAGCACTGTCTTTGCTCTTGGATATTTCACAGGGCCGGTAGGTATTGGTTTTGTATCTTGGAAATAAACCTCAGCAAGTCTAACTAAGGTCTTTCTTTCCATCTCCAAAAAGTATTAGGTACAGATATTAGGATAGCATGTTATGAAAAACTATACTCTCTTTCTTGGGTGCTATACATCTGATGTGTTAAAAGTCTGTTGGTATGTTCTCACATGTATAAAAAGAATCCCACTAGACTTCTACTACCATCCTGGTCTGAGCTACATAACCCCACATTGATTTATGCAATAACCTGCTAACAGGTCTCTGCTTCTGTTTTTGTTAGTCTGCAGTGTATACCCAGCACAGCCAGGGTGATCTTGCACACTTTTCCTCTTTTCAAATCCTTCCCAGGAGCTTTAGGTCTCAGAAGAAAACTGAAGTCCTCTCGGAGCCTACAGGCTTTCCTCATCACCTCTGGCCCCTCCTGCCTCTTTGTTTACACTGCCCCTCGTTAGTGCTACACACCAGCCTCCTTGCTCTTCTTCACACAGCCAGGCATGGCCCAGTTCCTCCCTGTCTGTCTACAAGGTTCTTTCTCTGCATGTTCACATGATGCATCTCTCTCCTCAGATGCCAACTTTTCACTTAGCCCTGCCCTGACTAACCTACGTGAAATTACCATCTGCTGCCAGATGTGCAGTCTAGCCCTGGCCCACTCACTCCCCAAGCAATTGTTTTTCATAATACTAATCACCTTCTACCTTACTAATTAGTTTTCCTACTCATTGTATTTATTACTTATATAAGTCTGCCTCCCGCTATTGTAATATAAACTCCACAAATAGTTTTTCCTTACTACTTATTTTTATCTCCTTCTTTTCTTTGCTATATGCCCAGGCCCAAGAAGAGTGTTTGGAATGGAATAGATTTTTAGTATGGTTTTGTTGAGTCAGTAGACTTCTACCTGTACATTCTGAGAAGGACTTATTTAACAAGCATGTCAATGTGATTCACATTGTTAAAGCACTGGAAAAGAACTTAAGTGTGCTGAAGAAAGTGCAGTGGGAGGAAGACTGAACCCTAACTCTGTTTTCCTCGTTTGGGGCCTTTAGCAAGACAATCTCTGTAGCTGGACCAGAGTATATGCCTTACAATAGCAAAGAAAAAAACAACAAAAAAAACCACCTCGTGATAAGAGTGGCCACCTATCAGCAGCTTCTGTGTTACACACTGAGTTTTGTGTGAGCTTTAAAACTTTTCTCTTTTTACCACACTCTTGAAAGAGACTGACTCTACCCTTCTCAGCAGTCACCAGTTGCCAATAGTTCCTCAGGTAGGGTTGGAATTTCTTACCTGCTTCCCTACCTCTATTCTGAGATTTAGTCTGGTTTTCAGTTAATGGGATTTATGCGTGCTGTCACCATTGCTGTGAGAACATGAGTAGCTGATCAGCTCTTGATAGGTTAACCAGGCTCCAGTGGATGGACCCACTGAAGGACATTGGAGACTCAAATTAGATGATATAGGCCTTAACAGTGTGTGTGTGTGTGTGTGTGTGTGTGTGTGTGTGTGTGTGTGTGTATGCGTGTGTGTGTTGTGTGTATATTAATTATATATGTTTGTATGTAATTATATATTATATAATTATATATAACCATATATATATGAGTACTTTAAATTGGGGTTAATAAACAGAAGTGCAAATAGCAGAGGCAATCTAAGTACTATCAAAACATATTGTATAAAAATTCCAAAAATTCAATTAAATAGGGGAAAATAAAATCACTTTGTTCTTTCTAGTGTAACTTTATAAATAACGATCTACCACACTCAACCTTCGCATCATACTCTTCAGGTATCTGGATATTCATTTTCTTGAGGCACCTGTTACATTAAACTCTTACATATATGTTGGAGGACACTTTTTTGCTACTGCAAGACTCCAGTAGAGTCCAGTTATAATCAAGCAGTGAGTCTTGAGAGCCAGTGTGTTAGTCGACATTTTCATTAAGGACTTGGAAAAGTTTTCTCAGGCTTTCTCTGCTTGAGGTCTTGTTGGAAAGTGTTTGTGGATCTGCCTCCCTTGATAGCCTTGATTCATCCAAGGAGATCTGTCTCAGTGTAAGCAGATAAGACTAGAGCCGTGTCTCTAAGAAGCTACAGAATCCTTATGCTTGCTGTGTGCTTGGAGCTTAATGTTGGAATGGCTCCTAACTTACTACTGGCAGAATGTTTTCTCACCAGAGTGGTCAACCTGCCTTCCATGCAATTATTCCTTAAAGTTGTTTTAAGATGACTCCTGTTCTTGATTAAGTACACTGTATGCACTTAGATGTAGTGTTTGCTAGTTTATTTATTTATCACAGGGTCTTATTATGTAGCCCAGGCTGGTCTGACACTTGTGATCCTCCTTCCTTAGCCTCCTTAGTGCTGGGATAACAAGTGTTTACCATTATACTGTCATTTTTTAATTGTTGGTTTGTTTTTCTATTTTTAAGTATTTCAAAGTTTATGTTTTTATATTTAATTTTTTATTACAGTTCTTAAAATTTGTTTTTAGTATGTGGGGTGTAGGGAAGGCACACATACCACAGTATGCATGTGGATGTCAGAGGGACACATGGGAGTCAGTTCTCTGTCATATGGGTCCTAGGGATCAAACGCAGCTTGTCAGGCTTGGCAGCAAGTGTCACTGAACCATCTCACCAGCCTTTTTTTTTAAGAGGCGAGAAGGAAGATGTTAAGAAACTTACATCAGTCTGTATTTAGTTAACTCTTTGCAGAGTTCAGAGCTGTAGTAGTTTGCTAGGGCTACCATAACAAAGCATAGCTAAGTAGCTTAAAGGGTGGACATATTTATCACAGTTCTGTAGGCATGGCTAGAAATCAGCCTTCTTCTCAGGGCCGCTCCAGCCTCTCCTGGGGCTTTCTAGTGTTCTTTCTAGTTTATGTATCTGTCTTTATGCCTCAATTTACCTTTTTCCTCCCTTTTTGTGGATGCTATTCCTCCTGGACTAGAGACCCACCCTACCGTGTATTACCTTATCTTAACCGCTGCAATGACATTATTTCCAAATAAGTTCACTTCTGAGGCACTAGGGTTTAGGACATCAGCATATGAATTTGCAGAAGACACAATTCAACTCTTTCACACCATACATTGCAGTCAAAGTTTCTAATTACTCTAAAGCTGAAAACAAGGTGTGTTCTACTTTTTGTGCAGTGTAGGAAAATTGAAGGGGAAATAAAGTAATGTGTCTTAAGCCTGTAACTCCCTAAAGACTGAAAGTCATATAAAAAATCTACCCCATTGGTCACCCCCACTAAACTAGACTATTCTGCAAGTGTAGGCTTTTCATGTTAGAAAAGGCCCAGAAAGAGGAGGACCTTTCTTACAATTACCCAGATAGTGGAAGAAACAGCCCAAAGTCTGGCTTTTGATGTCACTTCATCATCTTCTAACCATACTGTTCATTGTTTCTCCCTTATATATGAAAGTTAATTATGGTCATGCCAGACATAGATACTATTTTTCTCATTTTTTTTCCTTCTCATGGTAGAAGGCTATTTTTTTAAGTATTTATATATAACTGGTTCTTTGCACAGCTTCTTTTATGTCCACAAGCCTTATTGTCTTCTCTCATTAAAAAAATCTCCCATGGAGGCTGGAGAGATGGCTCAGCTGAGAACACGTGCTGCTTTTGTAGAGGACATGGGTCAGGTTCCCAGCACATACATGGTACTCAAGTTCCTGTTCCTTGGGATCTGACACTTCTGGTCTCCATGGACATCAGTCAAACACATGGTATACATGCATATAGGCAAACCATTCAGACATAAAATGATATAAAAACAAATCTTAAACCTAGCATGATACATACACCTCTACTCAGCACCTAATTCAAAGTAATTCCAAGGTTTGGGGCTGGGGAAATGACTCAGTAGACAAAGTGCCTCTGTGCAAACACGAGGACTCGGGTCACATCCCTATCTCATCTAAAATGTCAAGCATGTTAACTTGTGTCTGTAGCTCCAGCACCAGGAGGCAGAGATGGTCAGCTCCTGGGGCTCAGTGGCCATTTGTATAAAAGATCAGCTTTAGTGAGAAAGTGTCTCAAATAATGTGTAAAAGTCAGCTGATAATTTACTCTTGGATATTTCCCACAACACTGCATCTGGTTAATCCACATCCTTTTGTTTCTCTCTATTTCAGCAAATTGATGGAGAAGCATTTTTACTCATGACCCAAACAGACATTGTAAAAATTATGAGCATTAAGCTGGGCCCAGCTCTCAAAATTTTCAATTCTATTCTGATGTTCAAAGCTGCAGAGAAGAACTCTCACAATGAACTTTGAAGATGGTGAATTGCGAGTACCATCAATATTCTGCTTTAAAGCTCATCACGTTTTATTCAAAGCACAAGGATGGTTCTAACTCCTACGTGAGAATTCTCCAAAACTCAAAGGAGCAACACTGTCGGATTATTTATATTCCTCCAGAGACAATATATATGAATTCTTATGAAAATGCTTGAGCTTCTTACCAGTACTGTCTAACAACAGTCATCTTTTGGTTCTGTTCACTGAGCTAAATTTATCTTTGTAAATCTTTTTGAAGTGGGAGGAGGGTGGGGAAGGGGGGCGTCATTATTTATGGATGGGGAGGGCAGAATAAGAACTTTGGGCATTTTGTAAACATTGTTGGATCCTCTTTCATGTACGCTTTCTTTTTTCAGTACTTTCAGAAACCTTTTTATATAATTGAATTTCAACTTAACCAAATTCATCAAAACCTGGCTAAGCTTAGCCAATAAGACTGTTAATCGGTATTGTTTGTTCTGTGCCATATTTCGAATTGCAGCATTATTCTAAGAATGACTTTAAAAGTCATAATATTGCCTAACTGCGTGTCATCATTTGTTGGGGCTGAAAGTTGTAAATACTACTTTTTTCTGAGTCAGTGTTTTTACTTTTGCACGCATTTATGAAATGTCAAACAAATTACTTTTCACCAGCATCTTTACTATAATTACCAAAAAAGTGTATATAAAAGAATGGAATTGAAAAATAAAATATATACACCTAAGTAAATGAAGTAGTATATTTGAGCGGCATCAGTCTCAGACATCATGGTGCCCGTGTGTTTACAGGAGTCAGGTGGCATCAGAAGATTGTGTAGTTATGTTCCAGGGAATGTTTGTAAGGAGCTTGAACAGTTTATGAGATTATTAGGGGCTTCTCTGTAAATGACATGGAAGTAACTGTGGTGCTGTAACAGAAAAAGACTCATCCTATTGATGGAAACACTTATCATTTAAGCGCTCCCACCTCAGATCTCACAGTTCCTCCACACCCAAAGAATTTCTTCAGGGTGGGCTGGAGAGCCAGTGTTTAGACCTTTCTGAATACAAGTGGTGTGAAGGAGTAACACCAGCAGGCACAAAGTTGCAAGCACTCACGGGTCGGGAAAATGATTCCCAAAGCAACTATTCAAGAACCTCCATTGTAGATTCATTTTCCTATGCCTTGATTTATAAGCATTTGGATGCACTTTAAATGAAAGCCCTTGGTTATTTATAAACTGTTAGCTGGCAGTGTTTCTTTTGTAAGCATGCACTTCTAAGGGAAAAGGTAAATTATTTTGTCAGTCTTTTGATGTACTTTCTAATTCCAAGATTAGACATTTATTCAAGGACTGCTTCAAAAATAGAAGGTTTGGGAGCATGTTGTCGAAATTCTGAAGAAAGTTTCACCTTTTTCTGTAGTTTAATTTTTTCTGATGTGCCATAATGGAAGTTTATTATCAGTCCTTTGCATTTGTCATGATTCAAGGTAAAACAGGGTCCGTGACATCTGCAGCGTCCAATTCATTCCTTTGCATGAATCTGCTAAATAAGCTTTTTATTGTTGTTTTGTTTTCCCTTTTTTTTGTCTTCAGTATTTGTACATTAACTTGCACTTGTTACATGTAATATGGATGAAATAAAGTCTTAATTACAGATTCCTTTTTATATATGTATGATTTTTAAGGAAAGTTATCAAATTGGAGAGGTGGGAAAAACAGCAACAGTAGCACATCAAACAAAATTTATGCAAGGCTGTGTTGTAATTAGTCTTAGAGCACTTGTCTATCATTTGAAAAGTGTGGGTTTGATCCACAACACTACAATAATAATAAATGATAAGAAGAAGAAGAGGAAGGAGGAGGAGGAGGAAAAAGAAAGAAGCAGCAGCAGCAGCAGCAATCAGAAAGACAACACAGGGACTGGAGAGATGCCTCAGATGGAAAAGTGCCTGTTGCACAAACATGAAGCCCTGAGTTTGGATCCATAGCACCCATGTAAAAGCCAGGTACATCTGTAACACCTGTGCTGAGGAGGCAGAGGTAGTTGGATACCTGAAACTCAGTGACTGATGAGCTCTAGGTTTAGAGAAAGGCCCTGCCTCAAAAACCAATGTGGAGAGTAAGAGGAAGACATTATATATATATCTCCACCCCACAGTCTTCCACACACAAATGTGTACAAGATACAAACCACACACACACCCCTCCATGAAGGAAGGAAAACAACAATGATCTAATGAATCTGTAGCATTTAGTACTTTTGTCAGTATATGCAGGTGATATAAGCAACAAAAATATTCAAAAATTAAAGTTAGCTCAAGTAGATTTCATCCAAATTTAAATTTTTCTTCCTAATTTAAAATATATGTTGTAATGAGAGAGAGATGTAATTCTTAGCAACAGCTTTCACTTTGAAGCAGCATAGTGTTCTGTGTTAGAGGAAAGGCACTCACTACACATTCTCAAGTGGCATAGTAATCATTGTACCTCAAGCACTGTTCCATCACTGGGTAGTAGCTTTTAAAGGAGGAAATAGGGAGGACTGATGAGAAATCCCTGAAGTAATAGAAGCAGGCTTAGGATAAGACAAAAGGGAAGGATGCAAATGTGGAATGGATAGTAACTGTACATCAAAGGCATTTCTAGGAGATGTAAAGCACTGAACAGGGCAAATGAAACCTGTGTGACACATCCATATTTATCATAGAATGTAGTAGCTTTTAAAGGAGGAAATAGGGAGGACTGATGAGAAATCCCTGAAGTAATAGAAGCAGGCTTAGGATAAGACAAAAGGGAAGGATGCAAATGTGGAATGGATAGTAACTGTACATCAAAGGCATTTCTAGGAGATGTAAAGCACTGAACAGGGCAAATGAAACCTGTGTGACACATCCATATTTATCATAGACAGCCATTCACATCCCCTAGGTTCTGTGAACTTAAACCCCAAAGAAAATAGTGTATGGAAGGAAGTCAAGGAAAGTTGGATGTTTGCCAAGTGGCAGTACCAATCAGGTTCAGAGATACATTATGAGAACAGTGCAGACATGAATCTGCCGCATCAACAAATGCCCTTGTCATGTTTGGAACTCAGCTGCCCTGCAGTCACCCTGTAACTCCACCCCACCACCTGCAGAGTCTGAGAGAAGCTGACATCGAATTTCAAGCACAGAGACTGTGGGCCTGTAGGAAAAGGAGCACTTCAGAAATTGGCAAATCCAAATTTAAGAAATTGTGAAATTTTTAAAATGTAGTTGGCGGAGGTAATTTGGATAATAAAAGCTTCTAAGGAATTAACTATATTCTAGGGAAAGGCAAAAAATAAAATTTTAAGCTTTCTTAAAAACTTCACTTGATGGAATAATTCATAAAATGCTTATCCCATTGTGATGCAAGTATTAACACATTTAAATCTCAGTCCAGTCTCCAAAGCAACATTTTCCATCTTTCAGAACTAATAAGTAACACTGATACTTGTTTTTCTTTTAAGTGTGTTTTGCCTTTTTGTTAGTGCACCTGTTCATGCAATGCCCACAGTGGCCAAAAGGGGGCTTCAGATCCCCCAGAACAAGTTACAGATGGTTGTTAGCGACCATGTAGGTGCTGGGAACCAAACCCAGTTCTGCGAGAGCAGCCACTGCTCTTAACCACTGAGCCATCTCTCCAGCCCCAACACTGAGATTTTAATGACAATATCAAGGCACACTTTAAAACTTGTTTTAGTTTTTCTTGTGGAATTCTTCAGGAAAGAGCAAGTACACTGTATCTTGTTAGACCCAGAAGTACTTGCCCCACCATTATTTTGAAAGAACATATTTCCAACAAGTGATTTGGGGCAGTGACCATGAACCATGCCTGGAGTCTCTAGGGAGGGAATGATGGAAGATGACACAGGTGCCGATCCCATACCATTAAGATGGGTTAACAGCAAGGATACCTCAGGATTGAGGCTGCCCTTGTTCTCAATATGTGATTGAAGGAAACCAAAATGCCTCAGGCCAGGAAAGTCTTCTGGACTTAGAGAACTGAAAAGTATGTACCCCTTTTCAAAGTATTCAAGTTCAAGATGTTTTTAAGTCATCACAGTGAGTTAAATTGAAGGCTGTACTGTAATTGGAAAGGTTATACCTCATATATAGTCTTTAAAAAACTGGCACCCTTGAGAATATAACCTTGGCTGTGGATTCAATGAACTCAGATCAAATTCAGAACTCTTAAATTGTATTTTATTACAGAATTTCACAAAGAACTTTAAGCATTGTAAGTGTAAAGATGGAGGCATTAAAATTCATTAGCATTTGATACAACATGGTTTTGTAGTACCTACCTCTACTGCAACCCTAAATCAATTTTCAGTTGTTTATAAAGCTTCAGCTGACTTGGAGATTGAAATCGTATTTCCTTTTCTTTCAGAAAAGGAAAATAGAGATTCTGCACATCAAAGATCAATGTCTCTAGGAAGTTGAGGGTTTGGGACAGTCTTCTTGGACACTCAATCCCAAATACATGAAAGGTGGCCACAAGGGCAGCCAGGGCTGTGACACAGTCATCCACCTTAGCGAGCTTCTCCTTGTCCAGGTATAGAGAAAACTCACAGATGTCGATGTTGAAAGGGTTTTTAACTTCTAACACGGGCGTGGACACATGCACCTAAAGAGAAAAACGGTGTCACTACCCCATGATACAGAACATAGGTAAATAATAAAGCATACTGAACTTGGCCACTCTGTTACAGTAAATGAGGTTGTTGCACTGTTGCATAATTTTAAGTGTTTCAAAATAGACCACTCACCTTTTAAATAATTCTATGAAGGTATAAAATGAGGAACCAATGGCCATTGGCATACCACTTACCCTCTCATTCACAATAACAAAAAGGCTAGGATCATCCCCAAAAACATCTGGGAGGAGTAAACACATGGCTGTCATCTTCATATCTGTCAAAACAAGCATACTCAAGTAAAAAAAAAATTTTTTCCTAAACGTAAGGAAAGCTAGTATTAAATAGTATTAAAATATCTTTTAAAATTATTATTTCCTTCCACTGAGAATAGCAAATTTTCTTAAAAGTATTTCACAACCGTTTTTTTTGTATGTGTATGTGTTGTGTGTGCATGTGGATGCATGTTTACATTTGTGGATCTATGTGATTGTGCATGCATGCGTGCATGAGCGTGTATGTGTGTATGTGTGTGTGTGCCCATAGTTGACATGGTGGGTCTTCCTGCATTGCTCACCACTTTATTTATTGAGGCACAGACTCTTGCTGTGCCTGGAGTTTGCTCATCCAGCTAGTCTGGCTAGCCAGACTGCCCTGGGTATCCCCTGGATCTACCTCCCCAAGTGCTGGGATTACAGACAGTCACTACACCTGCCTTTTGTGTGGGTTCCGGAGGCCCGAACTCATGTCCTCATGATTGCACAGCAAGCACATTATCCACTGAACCATCTCCCCAGCATTTAAAACTGTGTTTAACCAACATGTTCTAATACAACATTCAAAACTTCAGCTTTGTTGTCTAGGCCACAGCCAGAAGAGACAAGAGTATTCTGTGTTCATCTGCGAGGATGACTTCACTGTGTTTGACCTTGTGGTTTGTATTATAAAATTAAAGGTACTACTAGTGGCTAAAATAGTTTTACAATATTGAGTATGCTTTTTAAACTGATGCTTTTGCCCCTCCCCCCCCACACATTTGAAAGTTATTTCCCACCAGACATCTCATTGAATTTCACTTTATACAATAGAATTCTTTTACGTGTTCTGAGTTATAGAGATGGCTGAGACCTGCTCACCCCACACCTTGGCTTTACTAACATTTCAACATGTCTTCATCTGTATTCTGCTTCATTTTTTCTTGCAGTGCAATGTTGATTGGATTGTCCACCACTGCAAAAGCAGCCAGTATATTTTCTGAGTAAGATTCCAAAATATGTCTTGTTTTCTTATAAATATCTGTTCTTGTAAGAAGTTGGACTTCTCTGAACATCTGATGAAAGAAAGCGACACATACGTCAGCTCAGAAGAAAAGCTCATTAGCTCATAACACAAAGAAGCAAACAGCTCATCAGCATCATAGTAAGCTCTCAAGGATAATTTAAGATATATAGCTGATATTTTAGTAAACAGTATAAGAGGGGAGAAAAGAATGAAAGTTTGAAGTGAATAGCAAAACTAAATAATGAATAAAGATTTAAAACTTTGAACATTTATTCTAGTTTATAGAACTGGGTGTTTTCCAATTTTAGCATTGAATATATCAATTAAGAATTAAAATATAAGAAGTAAATGCCACTCAATGAGTATTACAAAAACTACACATGTGTATACTGGCTGTTTGGAGCACACAACTAGGGTTCCAGACACATTTCTTTAAGACAAACCTCATTGCTATAGTTCAGTAATATCCAGCAAGAGGCAAAAAAAATACACTACTGGATTTTGAGAATCAGTTCTTGAAAAACGCCTAATCTTAGACTCCTACAAAGGGAGTGTTTTTGATATTATAGGATTAAATTAACAATGCAAGTGTGGAAAAGTTGACCTCCAAGTCAAAGTACAGTCACAGGACCTTGATGGACGCCTCTGACTCAAACCCACTTTTTCATACCTTTTTCTGGAACTTCCTAAATTTGCCTCTCACAGAATTTCATCACCTCTTCGTCCTGTTGTCAGAGTGAGGTCATCAGATATCCACAGTAGTATGAATTAATTTTGTCATCACTGTCCCTAAAACTAGAGATTTGTGCTGTCTACTGGGTCTCATGGTTCCTTGGATATTTTGGTAGTTCATACATTGCCTAAAGATTAGTTCTGAAAGTAAGAAGGCTGTGGTTCACATCCTCATTACAGACACAGAGGATCTGATCAGGGAACTTTCAGTGGACCACGAATCCAAATTAACAGCCTTAAGAGATGGCTGTCTACGCAGACAGGAAGTAAAATGTGAAGAAGGTAGAATCTGCTCCCTTCCTGGGCCCAGAGTCTGGGACTATTTTTAGCTTTGAGTTAATTTCAAGCTGATATTAAAGTTGAAGAAATACAGAGCTAACAAATGCCCTTCATTCAGATTTCCTTAACTGCTGACACACTTGAAAATGAGCTGTAGGCCTGATGACTCCTTACCCCTTACTGTTTCACTGTGCATTTCCTAAGTACAAGGACACTCAAAAATCAGGAAATCTAATCCATAGATACTCAAACTTGCCAGTTTCAACCATAGACTTGTAGGTCTAGGATCACTGTGAGGAGGTGTAAATGCCATGTCTCAAATTTGGTCTCTTGTCAGAAACAACCGCTGGGTTTCTTGGGCATTTTTGAAAAGTGGTCCATTTTTGTGTGGCCCCTCCTTCCATTCTGTGTGATGTTTTATCATGGTTCATGCATTTGGGTCAAAAATGCTTGCATTTCTCGCTGGATCAGTAAACCCAAGATGGGGATTGTGCCCTAGATTGAAATACTCACTTTCTTCACTTAGTTAAGTTGGACTCTACCAGATTTCTCCACTTTAGTGTCTGTAAATATGTTATATTTGATGGGGATGTACACAGCATATAATGATCTTTTATATGGATTTTTGGAAGATTTTGCTGTTAAGTATTTGCAGGCTAGCCTGGAACTCACGCTGTAGCCCAGCCTGCTTCATGCCTCCCAAGTGCTGGTATTATATTTGTGTACCACCACACCTGGCTAGCTCATGTAACTTTCATCCTCCAGATTTAGTATCCATTGGTGGTCCTTGCCTCCATCAAATATTGCTGTGATCATTGTCACATGGTGTCTTTTCTAAAATGTATTATTAGTTCTATTATAAGATAAAGTGTTCTCTTCCACATTTATATAGTTGTTTAATCACCACAGACTAATACCTATTTCATTCAAAAAGCTACAAATCTGGTCCTCAAATTATTTATGACATTTTATAACTTTTCGTGTTTCTAGATTTGGCCAGTGGGAGCTGCTTTAAGCTGATATCTGTGTCTTCTTGACGTACCCCAATATTCTATGACTACTTCCTTAATTCTAGCATTTCACACTATTTTAGTCATCACATTTATATTTTTTTGCCTTAGCTATAGAGTGAACCATGTCTCTAAGAATTCTGCTTCTTTTTATTGGAGAGCAGCATTTAGGAACTAAAATTTCAACCTCAAATGTACTTCTTACTACAGAGGCGTTATTGCCCCAGGCTTTCTCATGGAGGAAAGCGAAAGAGTATATATTTTATATATTGTAATGTTTTTGGACTCCAAATGGAGTCACTTGCTTCAAAGGACTGTCACCAAAACTTCTCTCAGAACCACAACCTTGAAAAAAGGCCACCACAATCTTATATGTACATAAAAGATGCAAGAACATCTGTCCAGTTGCCTGTGTAATCTTGGATGAATGGCAACTTTGGGACTCACAGCAGTTTGCATAGTCTTACTTATTTTTCTTTTTAAATCTTCTTGTCTTTTCCTCCTTTGATATGTGCCCTGTTTATCATGGCACATAAATTGCACAGTAGTTTCCCTTCTCAGTTCAGTATCTTGGGAGAATCTTCTGTTTGTTATTTAGGTTGACAAGATACATATCTGCTTATGTATCGATGTGTAAATACAACCAGGTGCTTCTAGTCTAACTCAAGGGGCTTTTTCTAACCTTCCTCTCCTTGTGCTTCTAACTCCAGCTGTCAGAACCCTGCCTTCCACTGTCCTCCAGTGATTCATTTATGCCTACAAACTTCCTCACATCCATGTAGCCAAACCCCCAGCTAGATGGACAGAGACAAAAGCTCTTCTCCACAACACCAAAATTTGCCCTCTAAATTACCAACCTTAATTTTTTTTCATTGTTATTTGTATTATATAATGTTGATCTTCAAGTTCAGTCCCTTGCTTTGTTTTTTACTGTGCTGCTGAAGCTGTCTGTTCAGTGGTCTGTTTCTCTCAGATAATGTGCTTTCCAGTGCTATGTTTATTTTTCTTTCATTTTTAGTGTCTTTGCTGAGATTTCTCACAAATGTGATACATGGAATTCACTTTGTTCCCCATAGCTTGAAACAGTTGGCTTGACAGAGCAGTAGGGTAGCCTTTGGAAGGCTGGTTACAGCACCAGTTCAATGCCATATAGCCTGAGCTGGGATGAGGTTCTGCAGGGCTGTACAAACTCCAAACCAGTGTCGAATATATGATGCTGGTTCTTCCATAGCTAGGACTCCTGGGTCCAAGTATCAGGCTTAGTAACCAGTGCAACACCATCACTGCACTTGCTGCTACTTAGTGACCCACTATCAAGGCATCTGCACTCACTGGTGTTCCTTTAAAGGGACTGCCAGGCAGTTATGTTACTGGTTGGAAGAGCCGATTGTTGTTCCTGGTCTGTCAGACTTGATCTTATCATTGCTTGGGCAGCTTTGTCTTGAGATTTGCACTTAACTGGGGAAAAAACTAAGTCTCTGATATGATTTGTATTCATAAGGCATAGACTTCTGCGGTGTCAAGACCACCACATTCTGTTGGCCTCCTCCTTTCTGTGCAATGATCTGGAGAGAGTTGTGCATCATCTGCCTCAGTCCCCAAGGATCCCAGTCCTGGGAGGCTTGAACCTAAGGCAGGAAGAAGTTGCCTGTCTGTTTTGCTTCCTTGCTTTTTAAATTTTCTATTGAAAGAGTTTTGGAGGAGGAGATTCTAATGAATACAGGAGGTGATAGAGGGTCAGGGCTAACTGCCAGGGCCTCTCCCACACCAGCTACTTTTTCTCCTCAGCACCTGCATTCACAGCAGGTGAATTTGGGGCTCCAAGTGTTTTCAGGATGACTGGAAGGATAAGTGCGGGGGTGGCTTGGTGCAAGGGCAAGTGTATTACTCTAGGAACTCTAGGGAAATTGTCCTAAAGTAAAATTTGATTTAATTTTTGGAAGTACAACAAGGTTTTTATACACTAAAACCCAGTGACACAGGGCTGAGTTAGGGAGATATATCCTGGAGAAAATAAAAATGTTTTATTCATTTGTTTAAAACAGCACATAGACAACTGCATTTAATAAATACAGTGATCACAAAAATTATACTAATATATACTTCGGACATAAAATGTGAAAAGCTGGGAGAAAAGGGGAAAAGACACACGTGCATCCAGTATGATACACTGAGGAACCCTAAGAGCTGAAAACTTTGCCCCTCACTCAGGCCATGATGGACCTCAGACTTACTAGCATCTGTGGTTCTTTGAACAGCTACTTAGCTACAATTCATTTATTGTAGCTGCTAAAACTTTATAAGCTACACAGCTATGAAAATCCCAGACTCCACCATTAGTGAGGAGAGCAGTTTTACCCACCATAGACTGACTCACTTGTTACACACCCTTCTCAGCTAGCTCTTTGGGAACCACTGATTTTAAAACACACTCCTTATGTTTAAACAGTTTATAGACTTCTTGTCAGTTACACCAATCTTTGCTTTAAAACTATATTTTTAGGCATGCCAATCTATCATTACTTTTACATCTACCAGCCTGAGGCTATGAGTTCCTACTGTTCCTAGAAACCCAAAGATTAAGAAATAAACAAGTGCCAGGCATGGTGGCACACACCTTTAGTCATAGCAATCAGGAAGCAGATGTGGGGGTAGGGAGGTCTCTGTGATTTTGAGGCCAGCCTGGTCTACATAGTGAGTTCCAGGCTAACTAGGGCTACATAATGAAACTGTCCTTACCCCCTCAGACACACACACAAAAAATAAATAAATAAAGGAAGAAAGAAAAAAAAAAGTAAAATCAAGGTAGGGTTGCTGAGGAGATAAAATAAATTAACCATGTGAAGAAGCCCTGGGAATGTGACTGCAATGTAGTTCAGACACAGACAGTTGCTATTGACATTATCAAAATGGGCTTATATGAAAATTCTTATTTAATATTTTCGTGGAAAGTATTTAATCTTCAATGAAATTGATCAAATAAAATTCTTCCACATAATATGTTCTCAGGTAAAATCTTTGAATCTTT